CACTGACTTACAAAGTCTTGCGATGCCATGTTTTGCAGAATATCAAGCGCCATAATCTGACAAAGCTGGAAAGAATCATCGAGGCAAGCAACCAAAGCTGCATACCTCTTCGAATTCAGGGTAGCTGGTAAATTCAGCTGTTCAAGGAATAGGACTGAAACTCGAAGTATGATGTAGAGGAACAGCGTGCAGCATGAGCGAAAAAAGCCAAAAAGGTAGAAAAAAGAGCAAGTAAAAAACACTAGCAGCCCAACCTTTGCCATGTACCTTCAGAGATTCTTCAAGATATAAACAACGGATAATTGATAAAGCCATTATTCGTCTGTCAAAATTAGCTTCACAAGACAACGAGTCAAACGACAACGACACTAGAAAGCTAAAACGGATTCGATTTTAGAAGATACACAAGAGAAAAAGAATTGTTTACCAGATGAATTCGTTGTAACGCTTGACTCTGTCCAAGTCATCATCCTTTCCTTTGAGTACCTGCTCGCTTGTTTCCGCAAGCCGAGTTAGTATCTGACAACGAGCGCGTAGTAGTATACTCATAGTTGTCAAATAGACCGGATTTCTAACCTTTCTCAACCCAGCAAGAATCTTCTGACGAATGGCTGGCAACTGCTCGGTCATATTTGTGAGGATGAATGCTCGTATGAGACTCAAATCAACTTCCGTCAAGACTTTAGTGCGCTGCGGATGCTCTGATAACAATAGCCAAGCTGCAAGGCGTACCTCAAATGTAGGGTATGTCCTCATTGAAAAGAGTAACGGTATTACTTACCTGTACATTGCAGTGAAGAACAGCAGATTCCATTGTTTTCAATGACATATAATCATTCCAATACTTGTATGAATCGCATTTTTTGTTGGATATGACGAGAAAACGAGTGATAGATAACATTGAGTCAAGACAGTGCGCATGTAGAGGCAAATCTAAGAATGAGAGATGAGAAAAGGAAAATAACAAGTTTGAGTAGTAGCCTTCACTATTCTTTTGGTAAGCTAATAGTTTATAAACACAGATTCCTACCCAGGTCAAAACTGGATCACGTGGAGCAAAGCGATTAGAAAAGCTTCAACCATTTCAGCCCAATGAAAATAAAATTTTGCGTATAAACTAACTTTTCATTCTCTCCAACACAAGCGGAAGGAATTCATCTTTAAGCAGCTTGGTTTTTATCAGTTTGGGTAATAAACGGTCCTACAATATATCAATAAGACATGGGCTAGCGCAAAGTCGCTTAAATCAATCCTACCTTGATAGCAGTCCTTACTTCATTCACATTAGTAGAAAGGCAGGATATAATCTGCTGAACATGAAGGTCCCATCGACCGCGAATTTCCAGAAGATCGAAAGAGATAAGATCACTGAGCTGGAAAGGAAAGAGGTATGAAACCTACATTGAAATATTAGGTATAAGATTTATAGACGTCGAAACAAGTCAAAACGACGTATAAAGAATATGGTCCCACAGCACAACTCACCACCACTGATAGCGTAGCGTTTCCGATGTGAGAATAGACATCTTCAATTAATGAACTATCCATAAGTTTGGCATATGTGGCATACGACTTCAGCATATAGAGCTAAACGAAAACTACTTCATCACTACTGTAGAGTACCCGCTTACCAGGCATTTGTATCTGCTTCGGCAAGAGGATACGCCATGAAAAAGCTGCGCGACAATACCATTCGTCCACTCACATCCTATTCTATGAAAATTTTAATGATATTACTTTGCCGCTCAAAACAGTGGTATGGTACCTACCCTCTGATTCACCCAGGTAGGCGGCTGGAGGGCGGGTCTTCGATCAATTGGAGAATATTAAGCGTGGGAGATGTAGGCTTTGCATCTCCCTCGCGTACGTGCTCTCTAGTTTATAGAAGCCCCGCCCTCCAGCCGCCTCCTGTGGCCGTATTCATCAACGA